TGAGAGCAGAGCTCCCTTAATTCAGGGTTGAGGGAGAGAAACATGAATTCCCAGGTCCTCTTTGCCTCCCAGCAACCACAGCTGGTTTTCTAGCTTTGCAAGCCTGACAATAACCTGAGGCCTCTGCCCTGCCCAGAAAACAAGGCGAATGATAAGAACTACCCTAGAAGAGGGTCAGTGAGATGATGAGTAATTGCTTTCTGCCAAGCCTGATGACCTGAGTTCGATCCTTGGGACCCACGTGGTGCAAGGAGAGAATTGATTCTTGAAGTCGTCCAATGGCCTCACAAGCACGATGTGGCACACACCCAAAGGCACCCACAGGAACACAAAATAAGTAAATACAATCTAAAAAAATGTGTGAGTCTAAGGACGAAGAACAGCATCTGCCCCAATCAGGGCTCTCAGATTTTGTTTGTAAGATTTCTTTATTTTTTATTCTGTGTGTATATAGGTGTGTTTTGCCAGCATGTATGTCTGTACACGATGTGTGTGCAGTGCCCATGGAGGCCAGAAGAGGGCATCAGATCCCCTGGGACTGGAATTACGGATGGTTGCTAGCTGCCTTCTAGATGTTGGGAATTGAACCCAGGTCCTCTGTAAAAGCAGCCAGTGCTCTTAACCTCTGAGCCATTTCTATATCCCTGTTGGTTTTTGAAACAAGGTTTTATTATGTAGCACAGGTTGACCTGAAACTCCTGGGCTCGAGTGATCCTCCTGCCTCAGCCTCCCAAGTAGATGGAACTCAGGTCTTTCCTCAGTAAAGTACCTCTTTATAGTCCAGTTACTTGCTGGGTGGTGGTGGTGCATGCCTTTAGTCCCAGCACTTTGGAGGCAAAGGCACCAGGTAGATCTCTGTGAGTTCGTGGTCTACAGAGCTAGTTCCAGGACAGCTAGAGCTGTTACACAAAGAAACCCTGTCTTGAAAAAAAAAACAACAAAAAACAAAATAAAACTATTCCAATTACATAGAGTTATTGCTGCATAGAAAGGCAAGACCACATAGCATCAGCTAAGATATACAGCCGCCTGAGTTTACTGAGACTGTATGTGTGGAGTAGGTTCAAAGCAAGCACCCTCATGCCCAGCTTCCTCCACCATCCTAACAGTTCTCCAGGCACCCACCCTCTGCACAGGACACCACCTATTCAACAACAGATATTGGTCTCCCTGTCTCAAATGCCACCAGTGTCTAATCACTGTCGGTGACTTTTCCAAAGCAATCCCCTGCAGAGGCTGTATGTCAAAAGTCCAGTCTCTCCCCGCCCCCCCCCCCATGTATTACTGAGGACCAGGCAGACAACTTTTGGGTGCAAGAGCCACAAGCTCCCAGCTGAGCTGACACTCTGTGCAGATCATACCGAAGCATCCTGAAACATCTGCTGGTGATGATGGACTTGGGCTGGGCAGGTGGAGCCCTGAGAGCTGGAGCTGGGGAGGATGTGGGCTTCAGGAGTGGTGTTGACAGAGAGAAAGCATAACCCTAGGAGCAGACTGAGGGCAGTGGGGAGCTCACGCTGGGTCCTGAGGGAGTACTCCCAAACTCAACCCAGCAGCACTCTCTGGGGGAGATTCTCTCGGGAAGGCTGCCGCATGGCATCTGGAGGCAGCACTGGAAAGGCCCACCTGTCACTGGCTCTAGAATGTCACATCTCACCTGCAAGCCATCAACTGAGCAGTCCACACTAGGCACAAGATCCCCCTGGGGCCGTCTGGACTCCCACAGCCGCACGTCAGCACCCTTGGGGCTACAGATGTGGTCAAGTACTTGCTCCATTCTTGCCGAGATAGAGGTCCCTAAGGGATGTCTGTCAGATGTCTCATGAGAGAAACTCAGGGACAAAGAGCAGGACCATCCCACACCTCCCAAACTGGATGCTGCCGAGAGAGGGAAATGAACGGCGGCATGGGGTGACATCTCATGTAGGGTGCCAGGAAAAAAATACAAGTGACACCCCTAAATGACTATGATCAGCAATACCCAGGGAGAGCCTTGGTGTATCTGTCAGAGCTCTAGTGGGCTGCTTGGATCATTCTATAACCAGAGTCAGAGGCTACCCTTCCCTGGAAGGCTCACGGTGTCGTCAGCAACTGTGTGTGAGGGCACAGTCTGAACCTAAACTTGTTCTCCCGAATCCAGCCCCGGCTTCCTTGCTTGTTTGTGTGTCTCAGTTTTGGGGAGAAGGTCTCTCTATGTAGTCCTGGCTAGCCTGGAACTCCCGATGTAGACGAGGATGGCCTCCAACTCAGAGATCCTCCTGGCCCAGAACACCCAGTGCAGGGTTTAAAAGCCTGACTACCACACCTGGAAATAGAGTTCCTTTCAGGGAACCCAGGCAGGGACTAGCGAGATGGCTCGGCTGCTCTTGCTGAGGACCTGAGCTTGTCACACCCACAATCAAGGAACTCGCAACTGCCTGTAATTCCAGCTCCAGGGGATCTGACGCCCCCTTCTGGTCTTTGTGGGTACCTGCACTTACATGAATGTGTATACATACTCATAAATAAAAAGGAAAATCGGTTTTTTTAAGATTTACTTTTCTATGTATGGGTGCACCACGTGCATGCAGTACCTGCAGAGGCCTGAAGAAGGCGTCAGATTTCCCAAAACTGGAGTTATAGAAGATTGTGAGCCACCATGCAGTTGCTGGGAACTGAACCCAGGTCCTCTGCCAGAGCAGCCAGTGCTCTTGACCAATGAGTCATCTCTTAAGAAAAGAAAAGGGAGACTGGGCGTGGTGGTCCACACCCTTTAATCCCAACACTCCAGAGGCTGAGGCAGGCAGATCTCTGTGAATGCCAGGACATGCTGGTCTACATAGGAAATTCCACGCCAGCCAGGGCTCAAGAAAAAAAGAAAAAGACTCCAGGCTGGAGCTGGGATGAAGCAATGGGATAAAGTAACCTTGTAGGCTACTCGAAATTTAACTCATTAAGGAGAACCAATAACATCTTGATACAATTTTTGTGTTTGCTTATTTTTTCCAAGGCAGGGTCTCTCTGTGTAGCTCTGGTTGTCCTGGAACTCACTCTGTAGACCAGGCTGGCCTCGAACTCAGAGATCTGGCTGCCTCTGCCTCCCGAGTACTGGGATTAAAGGTGTGCACCACCACTACCCAGTTCAATACAATTTTTTAAAATATCAAAATTAATGTCAAAAATCCATAATGTGCTAAATATCAAGTTTTCAAAAACTCAACAAAGGCATGTCCTTGAGTGGCTCATCCTCATACATTGCACATACCTACTCCTGGCCTGCATGAGGAGCCTCCAGGTGACAAAGGAAATCTGCGGGTTGGTGGTTTAGGGTAGAGGAAAAGGTCTGGCAAGAATCAGGGACACAGGGAGGGGACAGAGTGACCAGAAGAGAGAAACATACCTTGCCCTCCTCCTCCCTGACTTGACTCATCAGGCAGACCTTTCCTTATAGCAAGCTGCAGAATGAGATCCAGGCCCCCTCTCGCCTCTTAGGACTCACTAATCTAATCTAAGCCTTTTCCTCTCAGGCAGATAGATAGGAACCTCAGACAGCTATAGATAACCCTTGCCGCCTTGGAAAAACAGCCCCAGACTTGGTGACTCGCTGACAGTGGCTAGTAGCTAAGAAGGAAAACATTCTTAACCCGTGGACAGCAGCTCCCTTTTAAGGATGTCCTGAGGCAGCCAGCATCTCCTCCTGCTCAGAGGGGAATGGCATTTGGTTTTCAGTGTGAGTTTAAACTTCAGGGGTCAGATTGGCCTGGCTTCAAATCTGGCTTTGCCATCTACCATGTGACTCTAGGCTATTTGCCAAGATGACCCACACCAGCTCTGGCTCCTAGAGGTGGGACAGTAATTTAAATGCAGGCTAAGAAACAACCCACAGCCCTTTATTACTATACTAGTATTGATTCCTTAAAGATGCCAGCCAGGAAGGCAAGAAGGCCAAGAGTTCAAGTTCATCCTCAGACATGTATGGAGTTCAAGGTCAGCCTGGCCTTCAAGGAACCTGTCTCAAGAATCCTTTTTATTAGTATTAAATTTAAAAAGCAAGCATTGTGATAGTGGTGCACACCTGTAACCCCAGCGCCTGGAAGGTGGTGACAGAAGTACCTGAAGTTCAAGGCCATCCTTAGCTACATTGCAAGTTCAAGGACAGCTTGGGTCACAAGAAACCCTTTCTCAAATGAATAAAAATAAAAAATAAAAAATGCTAGTCAGCTCTGCCAGCTTTTCAAAAGAAAAAAAATGTCATATGAAATCTGATTTTTTTTTAATGTTGGCAATCAATTTCAAAATTCTTAGAACCTAACTCAGTAGAGACCACTAAAATAGGGTTGTGTGTCATAGCTCACCTACTGTTCAAGTGTGTGCCCGTTCCCTGCAGGCACACCGTGTTCGGCAAGCCTGAGACCCTCCTCATCTTTTCAGAAAGCCTTCTCCAGCACCGTCAGCATCCTTCTCCACAGGACAACTTGGGCAGGGATGCTTCCTGGGAGGGTGATGAAGATAGGAAGAGCCGAGGATCTGGAAGGCCCCACAGGAGGGAGGGACTGCAAAGAGGGAATCCTTAAAAGGATTTAGAAGGATTTTATTGGACATGGTGAAGCACAGCGAGGGATAAGATCATAAATTCACCCCTGAGAACAGCCTGGGTCTGAGACTATGTGGGGGTGACAGGGGAGGAAGACCCTGCTCTCCTGGGTCTTCTCCAGAAGTCACCCGGCACCAGGCTCAGGTGCCTGGTGTTCTGACGGGCCCAGTCCACAGGCAGAATCCCTCTTCCTTCAGAGGTGGCCATGAGGTCCCCTGATCCTAAACATAAAGTAGCTAACTTGAGCCTCACAACCCATCTAAGTATTTCTGGAGAGCTCTCAGGTCAGGCAGGGCGGGCTTAGACTGAAGTCAAAATCTCAGACCAGGGAACTTGCTGGAAGGGCTGTAATATAAAAAACTTGCTGGGTTTGAAGGATTCTCCCAAGGACTCAGAACACAGGAAGACTTTGAGAATTTCTACTCACATCCTGGTCCTGTGATCCTCCCTGGGGACAGCAGTTGACTTTCTGAGGCGATCAATTCTGGGTCCCTCCAACAATCACTGAAGAGGCTACTGTTGAGTCCAGCGGTGTGGAAGCTGCGGACCAGAAGGAAGACAGCACAGCCCTCGCTCTGGTGGAGCCTGAGGCTCAGGGGAAAGCAAGAAAGAAGGAAGCACGGGTCCTCCTATGCAAGAAGGCAGGGGCCTGATACAGCACCAAGGATCAGCCACACTCTCAACACGGGACCCAGGACCACTGGCCACCAGGGTCCACATAGCCGGGGAACCCTTATGCTGGCCTCCTTATATTCCTCCAGCACACTGCCTCCAGGTTTCTCTGCAACTCAGAAACCTTCCTTTTGTCCCTTAATGGGGTCTCTTTGCAAATCTTCCAAAGCTGCATTTCTCGGCTTGTGGCCCAGGGTTCTGGCTCCTCCTCAGGAGTCCCGTCCCTTGTTCATCTACAGAGTCTCTCCTCTCTGGACCTCTCCCTACTCCTGCGATCCCCAGCCCTGTCTCTCCTGGTGCGGCCTCTGCAGAAGCTGGGGAGTTCTTGGGGCAGGTCCTTGGCTTCCTCTCTGACTCTGCCATCTGTCTCCACCCACCGGCTGAGTGAACCCAAAGCTTACCGCTAGGGCCAAGCCTCACCCTCTCTGTAATGAAGGCCCAGAAGCAGGAGCCCCGCTCCTGAGCGTGGACAGAGGAGAAAGGACATTACCAATCCAGTGGCCCCAGAAGCCTGCTCTGCATGCGGGTGGCTCTCCCTCCTCTCGACAGCCCTCCCACCTAACCCCAATGCCTGGCGGAGCCTCTACCAACTCAGAGGCCTCTGGAGTCCACCCGGCCCTCCCCAGGCTACCGAGTACAGGACCCAGAGACTGCAGGACTGGGTCCTAACGCCAGAGTCCAGCCCGGACAGTGGGCAGCTAGAACATAGGGGTCACTCTGGGGCACAGGGCACCCATTCTATGGTGACACCGCAAAGATAGGGCAGGCCCTGGAGCCTCAGGGGCAGGAAGAGTCCAAGGTCACCAGTGGAGAAGGTACATGATGTGGCTCATGTGGCCCCTGGAAGGCGATGTTTAGGTGGAGCGCATCATGGGGCTCTTGGCCAATCACGCATGAAGTACCCTCCGGACGTGACACTCACAGTGCCTGCGGCAGTTCAACAAGGAGTCCACGGCCTCCCGCGCGCTTGGACCTTATGAGGACCCGAGACAGGGCGCGTGGCATTCCCACGATAAAGACCCGCATGGGGAATGAGGCTCAGGTCCTGGCACTCACTGAGCTTAGGGTGGAAGGGCGGCGAATGTCCCACGATCACCGAGAAAATGTGGGACTGGAGAGGTGGCTGCTCCACGGACTGGGAGCCCCGGGAGGAGGGGCGCGAGCACTTAAAGACCACCACGGGCAGGCAGGGGCCTGGGGGGGCGCAGGAGAGGGGGAAGCGGGCGGGATGAAGAGAGAGCGGCGCTGCGTTCCGCCAGGACCCAACACCCAAGAGGGCTCCGGGTCCGGCCAAGGTGCTGGGCATCTCCGCGGCGGGGTCCCACGGTGGCTCCATCCCCCGCCGCCCGCCCCTCTCTCCGCCCCGTGCGCAGTCCCCTCCCTCCGTCCCGCCTCCTGCCTCGCCACCTCCCTCAGCGGCTGCCTTGCCGCGTTGCCGGCGCACTCGCAGCCCGGCGGACACCAGGAGGCGGAGGCGGGACAGCCTGGGGTCCGAGAGTGCAGTCTAGCGGCCCCAGGGCCAAAGTTTGCCAGCAGCCCCGGGAGGCCAAGCGGGCGCTACGCGTCGCCTGCAGCCCCCTCTCGCATCCTCACCCGGGCATTGCTGCACCGGGGGACCGAGCTGCGGCCCGGCCAGCTCCAAGGCGGGGACGCCGCGACGGGAACTTAAGGTGGGAACTTCGCGGGCTGCTCCCTGGCGGGACCCTGCTCCTGCAAGCGGCGCTCCGGGCTCTGCACGTGGCCGCGGCCCGGGTGCCCCCTGCGGATGCCTAGGATCCCGGGAGAGGCCGCCGGGCGGTGCGGGATGCTGTCGCGGTTTGGTCCAGCCCCGGATCCTCTCGAAGGGTCCCCGGGACGCGAAGTGCGCTCTCTGGCGGGGCACCCAGGAGCACCCTGACTTTGCATGCTGGGTTCTTGGGGTCCCCCGGGGGGAGTTGGGATGCATGGGCGCCTTTGACTTGCTGGTTCACTGTCTATAGGCACGGAATGCAGCACTCCCACCAGTGGGCCTTATTAAGTCATTCATTAATTACGAACTCAGAGAGGGCTTATGGACCGCCTACTTAGTCCGTCCTTGGTCCATGGCAAGGTCCTGGGGACAGTTCAATGGTCGTGGGCCTCAGCGTCTAGTAGGGAAGTTAGAGGTCTCCTTAGCTTCAGGGTACCGTTGCCTGAGTGGCCCAGCTTTGCTTACGGTTTTGGGGTGTGGATGGAAAAGAGACCAATTCGTTCGTTCGTTCCAGGAGTTGTACAAAAATTGGTTGAGCACCTACTGTGGGCAGCTCACTATACCAAGTACTCAATGTTCATTCATTCATTTCTTTTTTTCAACAAGGCTGTATTGAACAATGACCAAGGGGCGGACGGGACAAGATGGGGGCGGCCCTCCTAGGGTTTAGGTAGAGGTTGAGACTCAGGCCCTGCCTTGGAAGGTCACAGCCTGCCAGGGTGGCCAGCAGCAGCAGCCCATGTGTGTAGATATATGGTTGGTACATAACGCATTCGTTCTTAATGGGGGAGGGGTTCCTGGAAAGGAAGAGCTGGGCTTTTAAAAGCTCTTGTGGGGGCCAGTGATGGGGGCTGAAAAGGTTCATCTAATGTTGGGTGAACACAGCTTCTTAATGATGGGGTTCATGAGCTAAGCTGTCCGTTCAACACGCATTTTCTTAACCACTTGCAATGGGGATGCTCTTAAGGGGTGCTAGGCACCAGAGTTCCCCCAGTGGATGATAGGTGGGAGGCAAACACATATTCATCCCTCTTCAATGACACCTGAGCTAAGTGCAGAGGGAGGTGAGAGAAGCGGGTAGAGACTGGTCTGATTCACTGGAGAAGGGAGAAAGTGCCTCTGTAAATCTGGGTAGATATTCACTGGGGTCTGTTTGACACCCCCTCCCCCACACACACCTGTGACCACACTCTATGAGTCACCGTAGGGTGTCTCACCAGTAAATACACCTCCAGGTTAAGTGGTGCCCCTGGAGATTAAGGCTGTGCGGTGGGGTGAGCTGAGCACGTGGTGGGTTTTTCTTTCTGTGGTCTTTAAGCTTTTGTGGCTTTGCCTAGGCACCTGCTAGGTGGAGGAGGAGGGAAGTCAGGCCAGGCATGGAGACATGGCCCCAGGGGGTTGCTCTTACCAACCCATCTCTGAGCCAACCCATTCCAGTGGAAAAATGTCTGCCGTGGGACACACTCCAAACCCACAGGGGACCAGCACACTGAAAACAAGGCACTCTGAGCCTTTTCCCAGAGATGGAGGACCCAGGCTGTGAGTGCCCTGCAGCCTGATAAGACAGACCTAGGAACCGTGTTGAGTTCTCTGTACAGAGTAGGCTGCTGAACTCTGGCAAGAGGTGAGCCACCTGCCCCAGGGGGCAGAAAGGCCAAGATGGTTCCTGAACACCGGGGGCTCACAGAGGCTGCCCTTCTCCAAGAATCCACCTGGGCTAGTTGCCTAAACTCAGAAAAGGAGCCCCCTCCCCTCACTCCCACCGGGGAAATGGTGGACGGTAATGTGACCTAAATAGAACTAATAAGAAACGTAAGGGGATGAAGGAAGTCGTCGAAAGCCCTGGTCTGTTTACCTGGCAGACAGTCCTTAGTGAATCTGCCACAGGATCTGAACTGTGCCTAAAGTTACCCCCATCTGAGGCCTGCACTGCCCCAGCAGATGACAGGTACGACATGCCCTCCTTCCCACTGAGCCTGTGAGCAACTTCCTGTCTGGTACTTCCGCAGCTCCCCATCACGCCTCTGTTTTAGTCCATGTTCCCCAATGTCTAACCACAAAGAAACAAAAATGACACATGGCTAGGTCAGTGGGTAAGCCTGGGGACCTGACTTTGATCCCCAAAACCAAAATCAAGAACAGCAACTAAAACGGGCAGAGGTCCCAGGACTGGGGAGGCAGGGACCAAAGACAGATGATCTCTGAGGCTCAGATGTCTGCCAGCCCAGAGAAAGGCCCTGCCTCAAAAACAAGTAGACGGTGACAGAAACAGTACCCAAGATTGTCCCCTGGGTACACACCACACACACACACACACACACACACACACACACACACACACACACACACACACACGAAGAGCCTAATGGAAAAGGTGTTCTAAAAAGCTCCTGGTAGAAGACAGGTGTGCACCAGGAGCCATTTTGCCAGCAGCAAAGCCTGGTGCCTAAACAGACAGCCTGCCTGCTTGATATTGGGGAGACAAGCCTTGCCTTATTTTGGTTGAGGTGAGGGATGGAGGAAGGAACCCACATCCCAGTTTGTAATCCCCTAGGGACTGTGAACCCTGTCCCCCACCCCCGAAGCAAAGCTGAGGTCTGTGGGGACAATGGATGGTAAGTGTCAAAGACAGACTTCCACATGCAGCATTGCTGAGGGGAGGGGCAGCATGCAAGGACCGGGGCAGGCTAATAGCTGGATCTATTATAATTAACGATTTAATTGGGGGTGAACACAGCATGACCAGCCCCTGAGTCAGCCCAGCCAGGAGCCCTAATCCTGACAGATGAGGCTCACAGGAGAGCCAGGGAAGAGATGGAACGATCCCTTCTCACAGTCCAGAAGCCAAAACCAAGACAGCGGAAGCTTAAGAAACAAATACTCTAACTTGTAGAACTTTGCTGAAGGGTCTGTGTTAGGCTCTGCTTTCGTACGTTAGCATTTATCAACAAAGAGTTTGGGGGAGGTAAGCAGTCCAAAGTGTGTCTCACTGAGTAAAATGAATGCATCTTCTGGGGAGAATCCACTCCCCATACCTTCTCCAGCTCCTAGAGGCCTCCTGCATTCCTTGGCCAATGACTGGGCCTCCCTGTAACCCCAGCAATCGTGGCCACGTCTCTGGAGGCCACAGTGGTGACCCAGAGCTCAACAAAAACAGGGACTCTATTGGTTTCCTGCCCTGATCTAGTGTAAATACTAAGATAATGCCATTGTCAGCCTACACTCACCTGCTTCCCCTACGCCCCAGACCCTTCCGAAAGCTCGTCCTATAAAAACAGGTCCAGTCCCCGGCCCCCGGCAGCTGGTGGAAATGGCAGCTGTCCCGGTCCCCACAAGGACAGTAGAACGCAGGGATCCAAGGTGCCCCGTCTATGGTCCCACCGACTCTCGCTTCCTTACTGTCAGTCATGTGTGCTTGTTTCACTGAGCCTCAGTTTCCCCATCTTGCCGTTTAGTATAGAATGCAAACGTCTGAAGTTAGGGCTCCAGCGTCACCCCTTGGTGCTTAGTGGGCCTGCTGTAGTGGAAAGCCTAGGGTGCCAATGTTTGGGTCCAGGTGAGGTTTAGCACTCTGTCTGCACCTGCCCTGAAAAACTGCCAAGAGCTCCTCAGAAGGGCCGAGCTACAGAAGCAGAGAACAGACCAGCAGCATCTGGAACAGCCCCAGGAGGGATCTTAGGGGTCACACAGCAGTTCATGGAACCCTTTCCTGTGAGGACCCTAGGGCGGGAGATCAGGTGAGGGCTACAGAAATCTCCACTCACCGGCAGCTCTGCCCGACACCATTGCTCTCATTATAAGGGGCAGGAGAAGGCCGTGAGACACCAGTGCTCTAGTGTGGATGCCCGGTTGAGTGCAGGGTCCTTCACAGGAGCCCTGGCCACGGTTAGCCATCTTGTCCACTACTCCCTCCACAGATCCAGGCCTCACCCCTTGAGCTCATGCCCTGAGCCCGTGGTGGGCCAATTGCTACTTAGAAGCCTCCCTTTGAATGAATATTTACCTTTGGAGACCTTAGCTGGACCTCGGTCACAGCTCCCAGAGTGCTGTTTTTCTTCCAGGAGGAAAGACAAGAAACAGCCTCAGGCTTGCCATGGGTCTCTGGACTCCTAGAGGAGAACAGGATTGGGGTATCTTGAAGGGAAATGATTGACAGACAGAGGTTGGGGGCGGAGGAACCTCTGCTTCTGCAGTGAATTCTTAGGATGTCCAGGGAACTGAAAGGCTGGCAGGAGGGCTCCTTGCCACCCTGGGTTCCCCAGGCATTTATGGAGCCCTCTCTCCTACTTCTTTTTGGGACTTTAACAGGATGGTTGGTGCTGAAGCAGCCAGACAGGCTAGTTCCAGGGCCTAGGAAATCTTGGAGGGACACCATGCTCTGGTGTCCATGCTGAGCACCCAAGACCATCCCCAAGCTGGAAGCTTTATGGGGCTTGTGCTTTTTGTCTGTTGTAATGCAAGCAACCCCAAGTTGTGGGACCCAGCTGCTGGCCTCCTAGCATGCTGGCCTGTCTTCTATTCCCTATTTTTCTCCTCCCTTCCAATCCCCAGGCTCGGTCTCCTTCCCATTCCCTCCAGGCACCTCCATGTAACACACGGATCCTTCTGTGTTTGCATCCTCGGCAAGACGTAATGTGTTCATTTACATAAATAGCATGATAGCATAACACTGGAAACTTCTGTTGCCTCTCTCACTCGGCTTATGTT